AAAAACTACTACTAATACTACAAGACCTAACTATATTTTTCATTTCACATTTCATTGATAGATGACTGTGAAAGATAGCAACAGGCATGTTACTGATCATCTATTCCTTTTCCCCCTGTTCCATTTTATAATCTTGTCTTCTGATGAAAGGTTGCAAAACTTTTTGTCCTGAGTCACCCAGAACAATAACTTTGTATATAGTCTGGTATTACTGTACAGGAAATAATGATTCATGTGGTATCTGAAAAATGCTCTTACCTATCCTGCAAGGGAGCAAATTATAAACATACAGTATCTCAAATTATTTCATAGATACGTCTGTATTCCTTAGAGAGAATTGCCTGCTCCCATTACTTTGCTACCAAAACACTACAATAGATACATCTAGTTTGTTTGTCCAAAAGCCTGTAAGCGAAGCAAAAAAAAATATTACCCAAGTCTGCAGAGTAAATTTCTAACTAAACAACACTATCTCCTTATTTATTTATTTATTTATTTATTTATTTAATTTATTTATTTATTTTATTTATTTATTTAATTAATTAATTAATTAATTAATTTAATTTATTTATTTAATTTATTTATTTATTTATCCAATTTATATGCCGCCCTTCTCCGTAGACTCAGAGCTTATAATGCATTATAGCAATAGCCTGCATACTTTTATGTACAGTGGGGCATAAAAGTATTTAGTCAGCTACCAATTGTGCAAGTTCTCCCACTTAAAAAGATGAGAGAGGCCTGTAACTGACATCATAGGTAGACCTCAACTATGAGAGACAAAATGAGAAAACAAATCCAGACAATCACATTGTCTGATTTGGAAAGAATTTATTTGCAAATTATGGTGGAAAATAAGTATTTGGTCAATATCAAAAGTTCATCTCAATACTTCGTTATATATCCTTTGTTGGCAATGACAGAGGTCAAACGTTTTCTGTAAGTCTTCACAAGTTTGGCACACACTGTTGCTGGTATGTTGGCCCATTCCTCCATGCAGATCTTCTCTAGAGCAGTGATGTTTTGGGGCTATCGCTGGGCAACACGGACTTTCAACTCCCTCCAAAGGTTTTCTATGGGGTTGAGATCTGGAGACTGGCTAGGCCACTCTAGGACCTTGAAATGCTTCTTACGAAGCCATTCTTTCGTTGCCCGGGCGGTGTGTTTGGGATCATTGTCATGCTGAAAGACCCAGCCACATTTCATTTTCAATGCCCTTGCTGATGGAAGGAGATTTGCACTCAAAATCTCACGATACATGGCCCCATTCATTCTTTCCTGTACACGGATCAGACATCCTGGTCCCTTTGCAGAGAAACAGCCCCAAAGCATGATGTTGCCACCCCCATGCTTCACAGTAGGTATGGTGTTCTTTGGATGCAACTCAGCATTCTCTCTCCTCCAAACACGACGAGTTGTGTTTCTACCAAACAGTTCTACTTTGGTTTCATCTGACCATATGACATTCTCCCAATCCTCTTCTGGATCATCCAAATGCTCTCTAGCAAACTTCAGACGGGCCCGGACATGTACTGGCTTAAGCAGGGGGACACGTTTGGCACTGCAGGATCTGAATCCCTGGCGGCGTAGTGTGTTACTGATGGTAGCCTTTGTTACGTTGGTCCCAGCTCTCTGGAGGTCATTCACTAGGTCCCCCCCGTGTGGTTCTGGGATTTTTGCTCACCGTTCTTGTGATCATTTTGACCCCACAGGGTGAGATCTTGAGGGAGATTATCAGTGGTCTTGTATGTCTTCCATCTTCTAATTATTGCTCCCACAGTTGATTTCTTCACACCAAGCTGCTTGCCTATTGCAGATTCAGTCTTCCCAGCCTGGTGCAGGTCTACAATTTTGTTTCTGGTGTCCTTCGACAGCTCTTTGGTCTTCACCATAGTGGAGTTTGGAGTGTGACTGTTTGAGGTTGTGGACAGGTGTCTTTTATACTGATAACAAGTTCAAACAGGTGCCATTAATACAGGTAATGAGTGGAGGACAGAGGAGCCTCTTAAAGAAGAAGTTACAGGTCTGTGAGAGCCAGAAATCTTGCTTCTTTGTAGGTGACCAAATACTTATTTTCCACCATAATTTGCAAATAAATTCTTTCCAAATCAGACAATGTGATTGTCTGGATTTGTTTTCTCATTTTGTCTCTCATAGTTGAGGTCTACCTATGATGACAATTACAGGCCTCTCTCATCTTTTTAAGTGGGAGAACTTGCACAATTGGTGGCTGACTAAATACTTTTTTGCCCCACTGTATATATGTGCTTATTAGGGCTTTCGCTCCCCCCCCAAGCAGTGTTGTTCTATACAAAGATGGCTTATTGCCCCCACAATCCGGGTCCTCAATTTACCTACCTCGAAAGGATGGAAGGCTGGGTCAACCTTGAGCCTGGTGAGATTTGAACTCGCACTAATTGCAGGCAGCTGGTAGCTAGCACTTAACAGCACTTAGTCTGCTGCACCACGGAGGCGTAGATTATTTTTCCTAAGGATTCTTCTAAAATGTAACTCTCTTGTATGAAATACCTATATCTGATATTAAAACACCATAAATATCCAAAATTCCCAATTAAACTGTGCACCAGGAATTTATTCAAAGACAGAAGACAGACTGCGCTTCAGCTAAAGCTTGTGCATGCATTCCTTGTTCTCTTCATCTGGGTCTTTTGAACTCTACATCAAGTGTGCAAGCTTCAGATAGAATCAAGATCACGTGGAGTGTTAATACCACTTTATAATGCCTTGATAAGGCCACGCTTGGAATACTGCATTCAGTTTTGGTCGCCACGATGTAAAAAAGATGTGGAGACTCTAGAAAGAGTGCAGAGAAGAGCAACAAAAACGATTAGGGGACTGGAGGCTAAAACATACGAAGAACGGTTGCAGGAACTGGGTATGTCTAGTAGTTTAATGAAAAGACGGACTAGGGGAGACATGTTACCAGTGTTCTAATATCTCAGGGGCTGCCACAAAGAAGAGGGAGTCAAGCTATTCTCCAAAGCACCTGAGGGTAGGACAAGGAGCAATGGGTGGAAACCAGCTATTGGTGAAATGCAGCTGGTTCTATCCGGCTCGAGCAAACTGGTAGCGCCTGAGGCTGGAGGCTACACCCACCCACCCGGACATCATCATGTCCCGTTTTTGATGCTCTATACATGCACAGAAGGTCTGCACATACGCAGAGGTGTTGCACGGAAGTGAAGTGCACACATGTGAAGTGCATGCACATGTGTGCACGCGCCCATTTGCGAACCGGTAGCGAAGGTAAGTGGATTTCACCACTGGTGGAAACTAATCAAGGAGAGAAGCAACTTAGAACTAAGGAGAAATTTCCTGACAGAACAATTAATCAGTGGAACAACTTGCCTCCAGAACTTGTGAATGCTCCAACAGTAGAAGTTTTTAAGAAGATGTTAGATAACCATTTGTTTGAAGTGGTGTAGGGTTTCCTGCCTAAGCAGGGGGTTGTACTAGAAAACCTCCAAGGTTTCCAACTCTGTTATTCTATTCCAGTTCTAAACAATTCAGTACATGCCCTAATTAATAAAAGAGTTGGCACATCTGAGGTGTAAATATTTACATCATCAATAGGGGATGGCAAAAATATAGGTTTTTCTGACTCTTTCCTGCCACCTAGTGATTGTCTGGATTTTTGTAGGCCACACATCAGCCCTGGTTTTTCTGCAGCAAAAAGGTGCAGAAAATAATCAAGAGCCTGAAATATTTTCCTTTTGTTTCAGAAAAACTGAAGAAAAAGAAAGTGTTACTTTTTAAAAAAAATCTTCCAAAATAACAGATCATTTGACAAGACACTGTAGTAGTACTATGAGAAACTAAGCAAAGAAAACTCTACTGAGCTATTATGACTCTATTGAAAGGCCAGATAACCTATATGCCCTAGCAATATGCCATTAAATATCAATTAGAAGACAGGGTTGCAACTAGCAGGAAGAATTCTTTGTATATTCCTGCTGTGCTTATTGGGAGCATGTCACTGGAAAGGAGATACTAGACAAATGGAGCCCAGTATCCAATCAAGAAAGACAACTCTAATCCATATTGCTACTATTTGTACCATATATTTCTCTAACTTGGGAATTTAATATAAGAAGCCTACAGTTTTTTGGGACAGCACTCACAGAATATGACTGAGGGGAGATAGGGACAGGGCTCTTAATTATTCGTCCATCTTAATCATCTGCCATCCTTCAAATGAAACTTTGGCCAATTTGTGTTACATACATTGATTCTCATACAGTGCAGATTGAGAGGGTGGGGTGAATGACATTCCCTGTTTTTGCCACTGGAGCCCTGAATAAACTTTCCTCATGGAAAAATATTATTCTGGTCAATCCAGTTCTACTTTTTCTTTTTCCCCTGGACCCTCAAGGGCCTACATTACAATCATTGCAAAAAATGATTAAAAACTACAATATTGAAATTGCTTTCTGGAATTAAGTAGCTATTCACTAGGTAAACCTTGCAAATACCATATTTTTTGGAGTATAAGATGCACTTCACCCCCCAAAAGAGCTGAAAATTTGGGTGCGTCTTATACTCCAAATGTAGCTTTTTCGAAGCTTTTTTTAGCCCTAACGAGGCGCTAGCGAGTGAAGTGATCTGCGCTTCGCCTGCTTTTCTCACTGCTGCTCCCTCCGACAATCAGCTGTTCTTTAGAAGCTGTTTTTAGCCCTAACGAGATGCTAGCGAGTGAAGCAATCTTCCATGTTTTGCCTGCTTTTCTCATTGCTTCTCTCTCCAATGATTGATCAGCTGTGCTTTAGAAGCTGTTTTTTATCCCCAACCAGGCATGCCCGTGTGCTCAAAACCAGCGAACTAATGAGCTGAAGCTGACCAGACTAAGGGTGCTAGCCAGATGAATACCTGTAGGCAGATTTTTTTTTCTTATTTTCCTCCCCAAAAACTAAGGTGCGTCTTATACTCTGAAAAATACGGTAAATTTAGCAGCAACAAGGGTGGAAGAGCTATTGTGTTACCTTTTCAGTCCTACAGTTGTTTAGGCCCATACTATTCAGGGATGGAAGCTTTCCATCAATATGTGGTTGCTGCTGTTGCTGCTGCTGCTCCCGCTGAATTTGTTCTCTCATCTTCCGAGCCTCCTGAATTGCTTTCATTACAGTGTCCTGGTCCCCAAATAGGGCAGGTGAGTTAAGGCTGGAAAGGATGTCTAGAAAAAAAGGGATTATTTTAAGAGTGCATTAAAATATCCTCTTTTCAAGAGATTTATATACACACACACACACACACACACACACACACACACACACACACATATTGTAATTTCAGCTGCTGCACATATTAAAGTCTGTATCTTTAATATTAAAATGGATAGCAATTTTAGATTTGGGCAACAGCTGTAATTTTGTTTTCCATCCTGAGCGATGTTCAATCAGAGATAACCTCTTGTGAAGCAATTAACAAAAATTATTATTATATTAATGATTTAATCAAAACATTTGATGCCTTTTAAAGTGAGAATTTCAGCATATTTTTCAATCCTAGTGCAAAGGATCAAATTGCACCTACACATGTTTTTTGCTTTGTATTTGTAAATTTATTTTATTAACTGATGTTCATGAAAAACTCATATTATGTTTTCTTACAAAGGTTAATATTTCCAAGTACTAACTGATATAACTGATTGCTGTTTCATTTATTTTTCCATTATGAAGCTGACAAGTTAGACCCAAAACATTCATGTTAACTACATTCAGACATGAACCTTATAGAACATAAAAGAATTAAGTCCAGTTCAATTTTTACCACAATGGTCAGTAATTGGAGATGGGAGAGAAAAGACGATAAAGCTTTTATCTTTTAATATTTTTTTATCATAGAAAGCACCTAATGAAGCAACTTTTGAAATGGAGAATGAGGTACAACTACGATGCAAACTTTCTACGATGCTCTTTTAAATCTAATGTGTATTTTGAATAATATTGGATTGTTGTAACCACGAAATGTCATTTCATAGTATACTGTATCATTGTGGATTATCACTACAATATAAACTCAAAGGTGCAAATAAATTGAAACAATATATTTTAATTCCAGTTCTGATCAGAAGCAAGTGTGTATGACTATTAAATAAATACTTATTACTTCCACTGTTGGATTTAATTGTATAAAAGATTACTTGTCTATGTTTCAATCAAAGCATAAGAATAATTTAGTGTGGAATATTTAAACTACATGCTTTTGCCCAATTTAGGTAGGTTTCTTGAGACTTTAGATTGATCAGGATAACATCTGATGTAATTACAATATATCTGGATTATAGCAGTGTACTTTTTGGATGACTACTTTATAGAGTGCTTAGACATTATTCTTTGCATGAGACAACAAAAGCAAGCACCAAAGTTGATTAAAACTTTACATTCCAGTTTTTGCATACCCATTGAAATATTAATAATTAATAATGGGCCAACAAATCAGTATCATTTCTGAGCAACCACATAGGTTTCTCTAGGATGAATTGGCTCCAACCTGATCCTTCAGATCTTCCAATAGTGTATCCATCACTGTCCACTTTATTGATGATCTTCTCTTTCTTTCCACTTTTCTTAGCATCAGAGCCCTCTCTAGAGAGCTCTCTAGACCAGGGGTCCCCAACCCCTGGGCCATGGACCACTACTGGGCCATGGCCTATTTGAAGCCACATGCATGCACAGCTCAATTTACCCAAGTTGAGCTGCACACATGCATGTGTGCACCAGAACATTGCAAGTGGAGCTGCGCACACATGCACGTGCCAGCCCATTGCTCATGTGGCCCAGTTCCCCTTTCCCCCCCACAGCTCGACCACCAAGCTGTAAAGTTTGGGGACTGCCGCTCTATAGGTCTTCACATAATAGGTCTGAAGTAGGATAATTTGAGAGTGGTCATTTGTGCCGTAAGTGAAACTCTGGAGATTTGTTCATTGATTCTTTTTTGTTTGTTTGTTTTTGCTTTCTTGGCTATCCATAGTATTCTCAGGAGTTTTCCCCGACATCAACATTCAAAACTGTCAATACTCTTTCAGACCCACTTCTTCAAAGTCCAATGTTCACTTCCATTGAGTGTCCTAGGGAATATCATTGCCTGCACTATTCTGATCTTTGTAAATATAGGCGTAAGAGGGCATCTGAATATTTTTCCCATAGCCATTATGCTGCTATTCTGCATATAGTCTGCAGTGTATCTAACAGTTGTTCCTTTACTGTTTTACATTGTTAATTCTAAATTTGGTTGTTGTGCCTATTGTCATTAGTTTGATCATTTTTATATTTAATTTTAGTTCCAATTTTTCACTGCTCACCTTGATTTATTTTTTTAGAGTAGAGAGTTTACACTTTCAGTAGTATCTTTATTATTTACTTGACCTGATCTTGTTTGTCTACCAAGATTGGAACTGGTTAGCATTTGGACTGGGAAAATATTCTAAAAGAAGTCAGTCACAAACCAATCTCCACAGAGTTGTTCCATGACATTTTTACTTTTAATGCTACTTATTAGATTTTTATCTGTTTTATATCGGCTGACTTATTTATTACTGTGTGCTGCCCAAAGCCTCCTTTGGGGCAGATGAGCACATAAATTTAAATAGTAAATAGATAAAATATCTGTGCCAATAAATTGATATTTTAAGCTCATATGTGACAATGCAAGCTACACCTCTTGGCCCTTCCGTAGAGAATCTGTATGTGTCTAAAAAAATTTGCCTTTGAGTTAAGGAACTATTTGGAAAGCCAATGCTGCCAACGTCTCAGGGAACAAGTAGCTACCCCATGAACCCAGGAAAAGATGGAGCTTTAAGGAGGACCCGATAGATTTAATAGGACCGCTTTAAAGATGGCCATGCCCAATCTGAAACACCTTTTCAGCCTCAGATGTGAAGGGGCTGTAATGACTATTTATTATATTTAATATAGCCACCCCAGTAGTAGGGTTCAAATCCCGTCACTACTGGTTCGCTCCTGAGTGCACACGTGTGACGCTTCTGCGCATGTGCAGAAGCTTCTGTGCATGCACAGAGACATCCGGGCGGGTAGGCAGAGCCTCCTGCCGCCACTGCTACTGGTTTGCCCGATCTGGAGCAAACCGGTAGCAACCCACCACTGAGCCGCCCGTTCCAGTGGTCTGGCTGAGCATGACTCAAAAAATTTATGTTTTTTTTAAAATTTACCTTTAATTTACCCTTTAAGGTATATTGAAAGGACTACTTTCCCTCATAGATTCCCATGTAAATCTATTGAGATAAAATAAAAATCAATGGCCTAATAAAAATGACAAAGTTTTCATGCTATAAGTGTCAAACACCTTGTAAATGTTAAGAAACCTCGAATATACTTTTGCAAAAAAATATATACAAAAATAGGCCCATAGAAGACCAGAGACTCCTCATCCCTATTTGAAATGACCCATATTTGTTCCTTTTTTGAGTACCTAGAGAAGATCCTCTTCCCAGAGTCGCGCCAATAGGACTGGGGATTCCACTTTTATTGCCCACATTCACAGGGCTGGTTTTACACGTAGGGAAGAGGCTCTGCGTTGGCGACGTCGGGGATTTGACAGGTTCTGCTGTCTTGGGTCTAGCAGAGAGATTCAGTGGCTGTGCAGCATCATCCTAGAAGAGTTTAATGTAAATAATTATTAGAAGAAGACAAATGAAGCACATTATCACTTAGGAAGCCACAGCTATTTTACACCTTCCAGACAATGCTGCATTTTCCTGCAATAATAACAAAAGAAGCTAATTATCTACACTCCTTGAAGATTCAATGAAAGGGAAACCTCATTAATTCTTCTGTGCTGTGCCTCTGTTTACATTAACTATGTGGCTAGAGCGTTCTTTTTGACAAATTAAAATCTGAATTAGCTTGCATTACTGTTTAATTTCCTAATGTGTTTTCTGAGATCTAAATTAACCCAGGGCATTCACAAAGAATGATTTTTTTTTTTAAATCTAACCAGCAATGTTGCAGTGTTTTAACTGTGTCTGCTGAAAACTTCTTAAACTACAATATGGCGTGTATGTTATTAATATGCACATGAATGAGGGGCAGTGTTAGGGTAAAAAAATTAAAAGAAGAGCATTGGATGACTTAATTGTTTTAGTTTTATTTCCATAAACTGCAGCTATGATTCTCTTCCCACTCTGTTTTATGAAAGATTTTTCAAATTAAGACTTTTCTAGATGTGATGGGTGGCACATAAATCTAATAAATAAATATAATTTCAATAGAATGTTATTTTCTTCATTTCTTTCAAAAAGTCTAGCAGGATAGCAATGTGCTTAATATTGTTGTAATAGCATATTTACTGGCACGAACCCAAACCAATGATGAAATGTTTGTATCTTTAGTCTACCAACAGCAGAAGACACAGAACATCACAGTAAAGGTCTGTCTATGTGGTCATTCAGAGTTGACAATGATTTGATGATATATAACAACAAAAAAAGAAACAAGAAGGCATGAATAGTTTAATAGTTTAATAGTTCTTCAGTGCTGCTTATTTAAACTTCCTTGATCAGTTGCTTTTAATCCTGAATGTTTGCACGAACTTTAATGTATTAGGTCAAAAGCAGGGAAGAGAGTCCAGAAGAGGTTCAACATGCTACTGTACTAAAACCTGAAGCAAAGCTAGGTCGTGTTTATGTGTTTACTGTGATTTATTAGTGGTCTGCTTTGTATTTATTTTTTATTTTATTGTTTTAAAATTATTTTAATTGATATATGCCACCTTAATTATAATGTATGAGTGGAGTGTTTTTATAATCTGTCTGTCTGCCTGTATCTGTCCATGAAAAAGAAAACATGCCATATTCCCAAAATTCACATTAATATTTCTGAAGTTTCACTTAAAATTTGCATTATTTTTGTATCATATACTGTACTCTAGTGTATAAGTAGATATATGATTGCCATTAAATAGATTTTACAAGGTATGCATATACACATACCTTATACACGGAAAAATAAAACAATCTTAATTTCATATTGACTTATTCAGATTCATGATTTTCAAATTATGACAGAAAGTTGCTCAGTTTGTGTAACCTCTGGGTAAGAGTTTTTGAACTGGATGCTATCAATAGGCCAATGACCCTCCATTTTTCTAATCTTCTTATCTTCTAATCCAGGAAAGTAATCGGTACAATATTGTCCAACCTCAGTAATGAGCCAGGTGGCAGAAAAGCAAACTGAAAATAAACTCAGAAAGATTGAGGGTGCGTTGATTAAAAAAAATATATTGATCTTTGAGTTGAGATAAAGTTTGCTCAGGGTAGCTTTGTTTTTCCCCAGAAAGAACAGCTTTGCAGCTTATGAATGTTCCCAAACTGTCCTTGAATTTATAAATGGTGGTTGTGTCAAGGAACTCTTTTCCAGCTGTGACTCTTCTTGAGTTAGCCATAATTAATATTAATTATCTATACTTTGGGTGTCAACCACCTTCATCATTGCAAAGTACTGTATGTGGGAGCATTCTTGAAAAGCACCCAGAAATTGTCATTGATGCAAAATGTGACAGCCAGTCTAGAACAACTATAAGAATGATATCAATCCTATATGGAAAGACATAATTAACTCACAGTTGCCCACCGGACCACACAAAATATTGGTCCTGACTTTCAACACTAAGTCTTGACTATGTGTCAGCCTTTTGAAGTATGCAAGTTCAGGAAAGAGATATCAGGAATGTTACTTTATTGCCATAGAATAAAATAACAATCTTGAAAATCTGAGAGAGATTCTCTCTTTCCCCTCTTATACTAAAGGGTATCGAAGCTGGCCAACCTTAAGTTTTTTCTTCCCTTCCCTTCTAACTATCCTGGCTAAACTGATGTTTACATAAAGGTTACTGAATTCCTTTTTAAGGCCACCTCAGTATTCTTTTATGTATAGGATCACATATTATAAGAAACCTTCCTGGTCTCTTCGATGAACCAGGTATGTCCACTGCTAGAATTACAGTATATCTATCTGGTATGCTTAAAAGTTTCTTTTCCTGTGTGATTCCCAGATGAAGAATGTACTCCCTAAGGCAGTGGTCCCCAACCTTTTTATCGCCGCGGCCCGCTGAGCGCGCGCAGGGGTGGGGCCACGGCCCAGGAGCTTTTGCGCACGGCCCATTGCGCACGGCCCAGGAGCCTTTGCGCTGCAGCGTTCATGTCCCCCGGCCGCTGCGCGGCCCGGTGCCAGGTACTCCACGGCCCGGCACCGGTCCGCGGACCGGGGGTTGGGGACCACTGCCCTAAGGAAATGGATTTGGCCCTTAAAACCCCAATATTTTGGAGGTGCTAAAAGTACATGTCTTCTTCCAAGCTTTTAACCATTAGACTTAATTGTTCATTTATTTTATTTTACTGAACATTTAGGATTTTATCTTTATTTTGGTTTCATTGTCACTTACCTATAATTTATATTCTTGTTGCTTTTTAAAGGGCAGATTTAAATCCAATAAATAAATAATTAAGAAATGAGACAAAATTAGTTTGAAGAACATCTATCAAAAAATCTGTGCTACTACTTCTGGAAACGCAAGAATGGAAAGAACTTGTTCTTTTGATCTAGTGTTCCTCTTTACAATACTATATTTTGCTGTTCTTCAGAGAGCTTGTACCCTCTACTGAACTTGTTAGCAATCAGCCAGGCGCAGCATTTTTGGGATAGCAGAATACTGAGTTTCTGTAATTAAAATGAAAAGAGCCTGGCAACCTGGCTCTTTCATTTAAAGTATGCCCAAAGCTGAGATATGCTGGATAGAAAGGTGCATCATCTATATTTTAGCAGGCAGAACTGAAGACTTCAAAGCTGAGAAATATATGAAAGAATACAATAATACTCTCCATTATCTTATCACTGGCATTCTTCTTGCTGTCAAAATTGCACACAGCACAGCTTACAGCAGGAAATTTATTGAATAGGGCAATTCAAAACTAAGCCATTTTTATAACACTGCACTTTCATGATAGCTTAGTTTTATTATTATATAGGAATTATACCCTTCAGTGTTTGTGGTAGTAAAATATATAGTATTTTATCAACCAGTCATATTGGATGAAAAATAATGTGGCAAAACTTTTATGCCAATGCCATCCTTATAACTGACACTGCGGGGAGACTGGCCCAGTTATTTCACCTAGTCAAATCAATTCCCATAAAGTATTCAGGCAGGAACATAGAACATGCTTACTAGATTTTGCTAATCATGCTCCACCCGAAATGTGTCAGTTGTATGCAAATATTTTCATCTCTTTTAAACAGTAGCTTTATAGGTATTATACCTTGCTTTTAATGTGGAGAAAAGTAAGGTTTTACACCTAGGCAGGAAAAACCAAAGGTACAAAATCTGGCTCAAAAGCAGTAACTGTGAGAGGGACATTGGAGTCCTAGTGGATGATCACTTAAATATGAGCCAGCAGTGTGCAGCAGCAGTCAAAAAGGCTAATACAATCTTTGGTTGTATAAACAGAGGCATTGAATCAAAAACACGTGAAGTATTAGCACTGCCTTATAAAGCCTTAGTAAGACCAGGTCTGGAATATTGCAACCAGTTTTGGTCACCACATTACGAAAAAGACGTTGAGACTTTGGAAAAAGTGCAGAGAAGAGCAACTAGGATGCTTAAAGGCCTGGAGACTAAAACATATGAAGAATGGTTGCAGGAACTGGGTATGGCTAGTCTAGAGGAAAAAAAGGACTAGGGGTGACATGATAGCAGTATCCCAGTATTTGAGGGGCTGCCATAAAGAAGAGGTGGTCAACTTATTTTCCAAAGTACCAGAAGGTAAGACAAGAAACAATGGATGGAAATTAATCAAGGAAAGAAGAAACCTGGAATTAAGGAGACACTTCCTAACAGTGAGAACAATTTATCAGTGGAACAGCTTGTCTTCAGAAGTTGGGAGTACTTCAACACTGGAAGTTTTTAAGAAGAGACTGGACAGCTAGTACTCTCAAATTGTATACGGTCTCCTGCTTGAGCAGGGGGTTGGACTAGAAGACCTCCAAAGTCCCTTCCAGTTCTATTCTAATTGAATTGAAAATACAGGCTATCTTGCCTCATGAAACAATACTTTGTTTAACTATTTGAAATAGAAATACTCCTCTTATGTTTGTAGTTATGTATGTTGGCACAGAGCTAAGGGCATTCATTTATACACATAAATTCCTAATATACAGGACTGATTTGAAACATTTTGTTTCCTGACAATATAAGGGAAGTGGCTTTGACTTCTCCTTCTTCGAGATATCTAGGGCAGCTTGTGTATCACAAATAGTTTAATTCTCTAAGACCAGATCTTTACTGCTTACTTTTCGGCTTACTCTTTGTTCATTCTCACTCAAATCAGATAGGACATTTCACATGAGCAATGAAGACATATGCAAAACTAAATGACAACATTTCAGAATTCAATACAGGTACATAGCTATTTCAGAGACAGGTCTCATACAGTACAAGCAATATCTTTTGTCCAACAAATAGACTCACTATGTAGCTTGTTTGTCAGGCTCTAAATGGGTCTTTGGGAAGATCAACCAAATCAGACTTTCAAATAAGTCTGCCCTCAGAAATAAGCAAGGGTCTAACTCCCTGCATGTCTATGCAGAATTAAACAAG